CAATATCCCACACCACGTAACGGTATATAAACAACAATACCTCACTCCACGTAACGGTATAAAACAACAATACCCCCTAACGGTACAACAATACCCTCCACGTAACGGTATATAAAACAACAATACCCCACACCACGTAACGGTATATAAAAACAACAATACCACACCACGTAACGGTATAAAACAATACCTTCCTCACTCCACGTAACGGTACCATCCACGTAACGATATAAAACAATGCTGACCACGTGACTCCACGTAACGGTATAAAAACAACAATACCTCACTCCACGTAACGGTATATAAAACAACAATACCCCACTCCACGTAACGGTATATAACAACAATACCTCTCTCCACGTAACGGTATATAAAACAACAATACCTCCACCCACGTAACGGTATATAAAACAACAATACCTCACTCCACGTAACGGTATATAAAACAACAATACCCCACACCACGTAACGGTATATAAAACAACAATACCCCACACCACGTAACGGTATAAAACAACACTTCCTCACTCCACGTAACGGTATAAAACAACAATACCTCACTCCACGTAACGGTATATAAAACAACAATACCTCACTCCACGTAACGGTATATAAAACAACAATACCTCACTCCACGTAACGGTATATAAAACAACAATACCCCACACCACGTAACGGTATATAAACAACAATACCTCACTCCACGTAACGGTATAAAACAACAATACCTCACTCCACGTAACGGTATAAAACAACAATACCCCACACCACGTAACGGTATATAAAACAACAATACCTCACTCCACGTAACGGTATAAAAACAACAATACCTCACTCCACGTAACGGTATAAAACAACAATACCTCACTCCACGTAACGGTATATAACAACAATACCTCACTCCACGTAACGGTATATAAAACAACAATACCCCACACCACGTAACGGTATATAAAACAACAATACCCCACTCCACGTAACGGTATAAAAACAACAATACCTCACCCACGTAACGGTATAAAAAACAACACTTCCTCACTCCACGTAACGGTATAAAACAACAATACCTCACTCCACGTAACGGTATAAAACAACAATACCTCACTCCATGTAACGGTATATAAAACAACAATACCCCACTCCACGTAACGGTATATAAAACAACAATACCTCAACGTAACGGTATAAAACAACAATACCCACGTAACGGTATATAAAACAACAATACCTCCACACACCACGTAACGGTATAAAACACGTAACGGTATAAAACAACAATACCTCACTCCACGTAACGGTATATAAAAACAACAACGTAACACCAACAATAACGGTATATAAAACAACAATACCCCACTCCACGTAACGGTATATAAAACAACAATACCCCACACCACGTAACGGTATATAAAACAACAATACCTCACTCCACGTAACGGTATAAAACAACAATACCTCACTCCACGTAACGGTATAAAACAACAATACCCCACACCACGTAACGGTATATAAAACAACAATACCCACACCACGTAACGGTATATAAAACAACAATACCCCACACCACGTAACGGTATATAAAACAACAATACCCCACACCACGTAACGGTATATAAAACAACAATACCCCACACCACGTAACGGTATAAAACAACAATACCCACACATAAAACAACACGTAACGGTATAAAAAACAACAATACCTCACGTAACCACGTAACGGTATAAAACAACAATACCTCACTCCACGTAACGGTATATAAAACAACAATACCCCACACCACGTAACGGTATATAAAACAACAATACCCCACACCACGTAACGGTATATAAAACAACAATACCCCACACCACGTAACGGTATAAAACAACAATTTCCTCACTCCACGTAACGGTATAAAACAACAATACCTCACTCCACGTAACGGTATATAAAACAACAATACCCCACACCACGTAACGGTATATAAAACAACAATACCCCACACCACGTAACGGTATAAAACAACAACTTCGTAACGGTCACCCACACCACGTAACGGTATAAAACAACAATACCTCACTCCACGTAACGGTATAAAACAACAATACCTCACTCCACGTAACGGTATAAAACAACAATACCTCACTCCACGTAACGGTATAAAAAACAACAATACCTCACTCCACGTAACGGTATATAAACAACAATACCCACACCACGTAACGGTATAAAACAACAATACCTCACTCCACGTAACGGTATAAAACAACAATACCTCACTCCACGTAACGGTATAAAACAACAATACCCCACTCCACGTAACGGTATAAACAACAATACCTCACTCCACGTAACGGTATAAAACAACAATACCAACAATCCTCACCCACGTAACGGTATATAAAACAACAATACCCCACACCGCGTAACGGTATATAAAACAACAATACCCCACACCACGTAACGGTATATAAAACAATAATACCCCACACCACGTAACGGTATAAAACAACACTTCCTCACTCCACGTAACGGTATAAAACAACAATACCTCACTCCACGGAACGGTATAAAACAACAATACCTCACTCCTCGTAACGGTATAAAACACCGCTGAATCACTCCACGTAACGAGCAACACATAACTGTAAGCCTATTGAATCATGGTAACGCGATTTACCACAACACCATTAGCTGTGTAAATAATCACCCACGACTACAATATAGCACACAGCTCTCCCCTAATCTTTACTTACACCACGGGGACAGATTTGAATAACGTCTGAAAGGCCCTGGTGACAAAATCACACCCAGCAATCACACCCGTCACCACACACACTGCCGACACGTTCCTAGGTATGTAGGGTATCACGGGCTGAAGTAGTTATTGTTCCGGCAGGTTTCAAATGAGAATGCCCAGGAGAGCGTAATGTGGCATACAGATATTGTTGGTAATTCTTATTGTGTCAGACACGACGCCTTGTGTTCGCCGAACACAAATACAGAAATGCTTTCACCCCAACGTTGATTTACGCAGCCATTATGTGATATCAGCTCAAGTAAAGTTACTGTTTCGGGTTGATAATGGGATTAAGTCAGCTCCGCATACGTGTATATACCATTTACTGTCTCTGAATGTGATCGGTGTATATTTCTAGTGTTTGACTTTAGACTCTTCCAGTAATATTCAAGCAAACTATCACGATGGAGCTTCACACATTGTACCCATGTGAGAACTCCTGCCTTCAGTTTGACAAACAAGCAAACGCTTTGACCAACGAGCTAGTCGTAGTAGTAATAGCAGTAGTAATAGTAGTAGTGGTAGCTGTAGCAGTAGTAGTAGTAGCAGCAGCCGTGGTAGTAGTAGCAGTAATGGTAGTAGTAGTAGTAGTAATAGCAGTAGTAATAGTAGTAGTGGTAGCTAGCAGTAGTAATAGTAGCAGTAGTGGTTGCTGTAGCAGCAGAAGTAGTAGTAGTAGCAGCAGCAGTAGTAGTAGTAGTGGTAGCTGTAGCAGCAGTAGTAGTGGTAGTAGTTATAGCTGTAGCAGCAGCAGTAGTTGTGGTAGTGGTAGTAGTAGTAGTGGTAGTAAGGTAGCAGTAGTAGTGGTAGTAGTAGTGGTGGTAGTAGTAGTAGTAGTGGTGGTAGTAAGGTAGCAGCGGCAGCAGCAGTAGTAGTTGTGGTAGTAGTAGGAGGAGGAGCAGCAGTAGTAGTAGTAGTGGTGGTGGTAGCTGTAGCAGTAGTAGTAGTAGTAGTAGCAGCCGGAGTAGTAATAGCTGTAGCAGTAGTTGTGGTAGTAGTTGTGGTAGTAATAGTAGTAGTAGTAGTAGTAGTAGTAGTAGTAGTAGTAGTAGTAGTAGTAGTAGTAGTAGTAGTATCACTTCATACAGTCCCCCATTTTGACTACAAAGCCATATCGAACGAGAGTGTATTCACCTCTGTTAAGATTTAGCCTGTTTCTGATTCCCAGTTTCAGTGTTTGTTTCACGTCGCAAGCCAATTAGTGTCTGCCACGTTGAAACAAATCAGTTGTAATGGCCGGACGTTGGCACTGTTACAAACGTACCATTGTTCTATATGGGCAACGAAGGAAAGCGGTTAATTATGTCACAATGTAAAAGGAGAATGTTTGACCTGTTTGTCGAAGTTTGTGACTGTTGTGCAGAACATCTGCACGTTTGTCGAGCTTTTGTTTATTGTTGTGCAGGAGAATGTTATGTAAGCATCATCATCATTCGTTGAAGGGACATTTCTTGGTTTGCCGACCTTCATCTCCCCACGTCTACAACAACGATACCAACATATCGACGCGAGTCTTCATCCTAGAAACCCTTCTGTTAAAATTACACCAGGTACAATGTCACCTACAGTCTGTATGTCAAGCGCTGTCTTCCTTGAACCCCACATATTTCACCCGACCTGCAACATTCATAGCCGCAACACGGAAGGGTCTTTTCAAAGTTGTGTCCGTTGTGTTGGTGTCGTTGTGTTGTTACTAGCGTCGGCAACAATACCCGTTTCAAACACCAATGTATTGCTAACATACACGGCAATACGCCTACGTACACCCGTGCGCCATAGCTGGTAGATGCCCAGGTAACCGTGGCATTAACACTTTGTTGATATTGTATGGTTTTGTATGGAGGCTCCCTGTGTGACCATACCTTGCTCGCTAAACACGGGTGTCATTTCTAATCTATATATATGTATATACACACAAACTCCGGATAATGGGCTCTGCCGACAAAAACTGACCGAACCTCAAGGAGCGTGTATGACTATATAATCCATACCAAATATGTCTCGATAATCCTAGCACTATTGATTTAATCTTACCCAAGGCTGATATACTTATCGGAAGCATGTATTGATTGGATTGGGATATATTAAATATTGATTCAGGTCCCAAGTAGCTGCTATGTGAGTATTATATGATACTCTTGGGAGATTATATTAAACCTGTCTTCGAGCAGGAATTTACGACATTTTCGAAGAGCGAGCCTTAACGCTGAGGAGCTTTTCGTGTCGACCAATCAGAGCTTCGTTAACACACCCGATTTATTTTATTGTGTACTTGAGTGTACTAGTGTACGGACAAGTTGGAGACCCGATCGTGGAGTGATATAGTGTGGTGATACTAACTTCAAACGGTTATGGGTCGAGATATGTGGTTTGTGACGGGACCATATGGTTAGATTATTGCCGAGAACTTGAACGGAGCGTTGTGCTTGTGGACAAGTGTGTGTTAAGGCGTGTGTGTGTTGACAGCGGATCTCCTGGTGGCCTTTCTGTGAAGGGTTAACGTGAGGTTCAGGATTCTCTGGAGTCGAGAGCAGTTGACGCATTGGCTTTTGTAACATTCTGAATGATCTTCTACTTAAACTGACGTTTTATATTCAGCCTATTCAAGAATTATAGATCCAGGGTAGGAATTCGTGATTGTATCATTGTGACGGCGAGGAGTATTGTAAACACAGATGGTGATGGCGATATAGATTTTCTACACGGATGGTGACGGCGAGATAGATTGTGAACACAGATGGTGACGGCGAGATAGATTGTGAACACGGATGGTGACGGCGAGATAGATTGTGAACACGGATGGTGACGGCGAGATAGACTGTGAACACGGATGGTGGCGGAGATATATATTGTAAATACAGATGATGCCAGTGAAATGTGTTCTGAAAGAAAATGGGGATGGATACGTACGTGAACTCGGCTAGTCACGGTACGATATAAACTTAATACGGATGTGAAATGTGTTCTAAACACGGATAGTCAGTGCGACATATATTCTATAAATACGGATAGCGACGACAGAATTTGGTAACGGCAAGTGCCATCTAAAACAAAAGATTGAGTTATCATGAACACAGACAACACACCTTATTCTTCTAAAATGAACGTATTAACCCAAGGTTAAGACGGGGCTGTCTTCACAATGGATGATACCATCAACGGATGACGTCGCTGCAGATGATAGTCGATTAAGGACCACAGGACGTTGACTTTGAGGTCTGTCCAGTATAAGGTCAGACATTTTATGCACTGTTCAAGTGGACTTCAGGGGGGATTTCTCCTCCAACGATTAGACTAATTGCCCCATGTAAGGTCCAGAGTCTTAGCATCATCTAGTAGTCTGCTGTAGCTAAACGTGACCTGTTCCGACATGACTACCATACAGAGGCTATGCGGAGAACACTTTGTTCCCACCGACAAACCTAAGAAGGTGGGAGGCTATATTTTGGGGAAGATTATCGGAGAAGGCCGGCAGTCTACTGTCCGAGAAGCTATCCACCAAGAGCTGAATGAAAAGGTGATACTGTATGACGTCACAATATGATGACGACACAGTCGGAATATACTATTGATCGTTGATCTTTGAGGAAGGCGAAGGAGCTGATATTTCACACTCATTTTGAGCAGAATTATTAATAGGTACAAGAGTATAATAAATGATGATGAATGATAACTAATGAGTCATGATCACAGATTATCTTTTATGATTGCAAAAATGGTTTAATCCATGAGTCGTGGCGCTGGCCTTTAAACCGTATTTTCGATTTTCTAGTAGGTAATATTTCATTTTACTCACTTCAACTTTGAAATGAAGAACATGTTTCAAATATTCTCTTCGGTAAGCATGTTCAGATGACGTCACCATCGCATTGACCCAATATGGTGTCCCATTACTTCAAATGACCTGTCAACATTGAGAATCCATAAATAATCCTATTACATGTGCAAATACCGGACGATTATCACATTTAATACTGCTACCCTTACGTTTAATATGAGGACATATTTTGAGGTTAGAACTAATTTCTGCGAATCGAGCAGTATCGTGGGGTTTAAGAAATGTCGTCGTATGTAATAGTTTTGATGTAGTCATCGACGTTTTGAAGCACTTATAATTTAGCTTAGCTTAATTCCGTAAGTGCATTTGTGATAGGTTCTGTTTCCTACAAATATATTAAAATAGATTTTCGACTCAAAATACGTGGAAAGTATTCATGAGCAGTTGTATATCATGCAATATTTTTTGTCAATATAATTTAAAGTTATGAGTCAAATTATTTCTGAAAAAAAAATGAAATACGTGTAGAAATGTTCTACTGAGTCCCAATACGGTTCAATGTTTGGATATTATAACTTAAGATATTTTCAATTGAAAATCAAACCTATGATAAAATCAACTGAGGTGTCTAGTTTCTTTCGTTCTTCAGTATATGCTGATTATTTACAGTCAGCGTTATATCCCCTATACCCCGGGGAATTTTCAGGAACCAGGACGGGGTCAATGTTACACTGATAAATATTACATGGTTATTCCACCTGCGTTATTACCATGATCACGCGATTGGACATGATACATAGCCGGACGCTACTAATCAAAGGTCGTTACGATATGGCTGAGATATTGCCGATGTGACGTTAAATATTAACTCACTCACTCACTAATCAAAGGCGACAAAAATGGCCGGTATTTACACTGGCATCGGCGGATTGGTTACATCACGCAATGTATCAACGCCGTCCGGGCGCTCTGAGGCTCAACATGTAACGGGACACACTTAATGCAATATTGATGAATTTCGTTGTGTGCAGAAGTAATGTACTTGATTACTGGTGTGTGAGAGATCAGTGATAAACATAATAACTCTTCTACAGTTACACAGAACCTTTTTTTCAAACGAGCTTTATTTCTCGCTTGTTTGTTTTTAGGTCGTAGTCAGCAATATTGCGGTTGTACCACAGCTGCTGGTAAGAGAAATAAGAAAAAGTGTTTCCAAAAAACTTTCATTACAAAGCCTTCAATATTTAATATGGTTAATTTATTTCAGACATAAAATGTATCCACTTTAATAAAATTGTCCATATTTTGCCTCCATGTGCTATGTAAATTCAGATAAATACTCCATCATTGAATTATTCATGTATATGATATCAATGTATGTATTTAACAATGTATACGGTTATATATATCCTGTAAACCTCGTCATGCTACATTGTAGCCTTGAGTGAATATAATTCACAAAAAAGAAAGATGGTAAATACACGAATCTGACCTGGCAAACGAGTGGCAGATACTATGCTCAGCATGACGTCATCGAGCCTGACCACCCCATCCCCTTTTAGGTCAATTCTTACTACAAACACGAGATGCGAACTTTTGGCCCGTAATCGCGAAATATGGATTAGCGGAGTGGTTTTGGTGATTAATGACGAGTGACATATAAGGAATCGAAAGATATATTGACACCTAATTGGGTACCTATTAACTCGATCCCCAACACGGCGTGATTCTATTGCTCCAGCCGAAATGGTATCAGGCAATGATCTGTTATCGCATTCCGCGTGTGTCGAATGTTGATAAGTCGATAGGAGCTAACGAGGTGTTATTGAACGTTGAAGATGTTGTGATGATTGCCGATCTTTAGGCTTGTTACCATCTAAAGTGCCGCGCTGATTGGGTTCAATGGATGCCCGGCTCCGATTATATTGAATTTGGGAAACAATACCGTAATTGCCTTGCCTGCAAATACAGTGAACCTTTTGTACTTGGAACGCAGGTTATAGCCCGGGAAAGCGAAATCTGGACCAAACCTCCTCAATTTTGGTGTCGCTTTTATATTCGCGGGAACGTCAAAGCTACAGTGAACAGAGAATTTAGCGTTCCCGGGACTCTCAATACACAAGAAGAACAAAGGAATGTGAGTCGTCGTCTGATACCGTAGTCATGGTAGAAATTTAATAAATAAATAGCAATACATACATGCTTGAGTCACAGACTGTTCGCCGATAAGTCACATTGATGGATCGTGAGGAGGTGTATCACTGAAGGTGGATCAGGTCAGCGACGTGATCAGTGTAGTTCTGTTCTCGGAATGTTTTCCTACACATAGAACAAGTGCTGGTCTCCTCTCAGTGTGTCAATAAACGTAACTCTGGCCTGCGCATTTGCCATTTTGATGAAGAAAAATACAGAGAGCACTTATTATAGGGCATTTCAATCTCAGTTAACAGGCTTCAAAACTAAAATATTTAATCTTTAATTACCTTAATTGTTTACAGATCAAATATACATAACACACACGTTAACCAACATTTAAACTTTATTCTATTTTCACAAAAAATGGAAAATGGCAAAATATCCAATTGAGTTTGAGTGAGTTGTCTATAGCTCTGATTGATCTTCGTTAGACAATGTCACATGTAAAAGAGCCCGACTTATTCATTTATTGTATTTATAAGGTAACAGGAAACTGCATCTCAGTTGAGAGGCTGAGAGGTCGAGTATTGGGGTCGCGTGCTAATCTGAAGTACGGTAATCCGATGTTTTCATAGCAATTCGCTTACGCGGCACTTAAAGCGCAACTTTGGTTTTCGCTTTACCGGGAATAGGGAATATTGAAATTTCGCTTTCCCGGGCCGACACCGGATCGCAATCAGAGACGTGTTAGCTGTTTAAGGTACACAGTGACATGCCACAGTGACATGCTAGTTTGTGTTTATTTCAGGTGGTTTAGAAGTATCACCTTAGCTGAAGGAGGTACACTGAAATATCTATCCGTGGGTGTACAGTGACGATGTTCTGTGATGTGTCTGTTTCATTGGGGGCGGTGGGGTAGCCTTGTGGTTAAAGCTTTCGCTCGTCACGCTGAAGACCCGGGTTCGATTCCCCACATGGGTACAATGTGTGAAGCCCATTTCTGGCGTTCCCCGCCGTGATATCGCTGGTATATTGCTAAAACCGGTGTAAAACTAAACTCATTCACTGTTTTATTGAAAGAGACACTGAGACACGTGTTAGTGTTAATTTCAGGTAGTTGTACAGTCCGGCATCAAGTAAAGGAGACACACTGTGATATCTATATGTGTTTGTTTCGGGTGGTTGTAAAGTATTACCTCGCGAAAAGGAGACACACTGTCGTGTGGCGTGAGATATCTATCTCTGTGTGCGAGAGATGGTTGTAAAGTCTCTCAATCAAAACACACTGAGATATCTATCTCTGTGTGCGAAACATGGTTGTAAAGTCTCTCCTCAATCAAGACAGACACATTGAGCTATCTATCTCTGTGTGTGAGACCGTGTGAGAACTGGTTGTAAAGTCTCTCCTCAATCAAAACAGACACATTGAGCTATCTATCTCTGTGTGTGAGACCGTGTGAGAACTGGTTGTAAAGTCTCTCCTCAATCAAAACAGACACATTGAGCTATCTATCTCTGTGTGTAAGACCGTGTGAGAACTGGTTGTAAAGTCACTCCTCAATCAAAACAGACATACTGAGCTATCTATCTCTGTGTATGAGACCGTGTAGGAACTGGTTGTAAAGTCTCTCCTCAATCAAAACAGAAACATTGAGCTATCTTTCTCTGTGTGTGAGACCGTGTGAGAACTGGTTGTAAAGTCTCTCCTCAATCAAAACAGACACATTGAGCTATCTATCTCTGTGTGTGAGACCGTGTGAGAACTGGTTGTAAAGTCTCTCCTCAATCAAAACAGACACATTGAGCTATCTATCTCTGTGTGTGAGACCGTGTGAGAACTGGTTGTAAAGTCTCTCCTCAATCAAAACAGACACATTGAGCTATCTATCTCTGTATGTGAGAACTGGTTGTAAAGTCTCTCCTCAATCAAAACAGACACATTGAGCTATCTATCTCTGTGTGTGAGACCGTGTGAGAACTGGTTGTAAAGTCTATCCTCAATCAAAACAGACACATTGAGCTATCTATCTCTGTGTGTGAGATCGGGTGAGAGCTGGTTGTAAAGTCTATCCTCAATCAAAACAGACACACTGAGCTATCTATCTCTGTATGTGAGAGCTGGTTGTAAAGTCTCTCCTCAATCAAAACAGACACATTGAGCCATCTATCTCTGTGTGTGAGACCGTGTGAGACTTGGTTGTAAAGTCATTCCTCAATCAAAACAGACACACTGAGCTATCTATCTCTGTATGTGAGAGCTGGTTGTAAAGTCTCTCCTCAACGAAAAGAGACAAACTGACGTGGCTGTATATTGGTGTTTCAGGTGGCTGTGAAATCAATCCTCAAATACCCTTCCAGGAAAGGCGACACACAGAGACAGTGTTTCCGCCGCGAGGTTGACAGCCTACGTTGTCTCCGTCACCCTAACGTCGTGGTGTTGTATGAGACGATGGAGACAACGAGGCACATGTACCTCGTCATGGAACTAGTAAAGGGGCCAACACTGGCCAAGGTTCTGAGACGCAGGTACGTATCTCACACCCTTCACGACTGGATAAGTGTCAGTCAATTCCTGGGATCTCTGTTGTCGTAGATGTTGCACCGCTTCAATACAGTAACATGTTTTAGAAATTGCTTGGCAACACGTACTCCTCCCCACCTCTCCACCTCCCCTCTCACAAGATATCAAATTATTGACGTCTAACGACACTGCAGGACTGCACCTGTAATCCAAAGCTAAAATTTTTTGGGGTTTTGTTTTGTATTTGTTTGTTTTTGTTTTGTTTTGTGTTATTTTTGTTATTTTCATTTTTTAATTTTTTTTAATTTATTTATTTATTTATTTATTTTATTTATTTTTTATTTTATTTATTTTTTTTATTTTATTTTTTTATTTTTTTGAGGGGGATTTGTCCGTGGGGATTTGTCCTGGATTCACTTAACTTAACATTTGCCTCTTTCCGGGTAAGGGTAACGATATCGATATATATATATACACACAACCTTTATAGATTATGTACCTTATGACATTTACTACTGTAGATCTTGATAAGAGAAACACAGTTTGCACATAATATATAAGCTTAACCAAGATGGTATTGTAACTATTTGTACCCGTGCATTTGACTGCTAATAATAATATATTTTCATTTTTGTTGATGCGTTATTTAGTATTATCAAAGACGACCACTCCTTGTGTATACAAACAGCTAATGGGGACACAGGGAGCACAATATTTTACGGTGACCTCTCCTCGATAAACTTACTCATTCACTCATGCATTTACGATAATAGCAACTGCAGCACACGATGTATTGGTATTTGGTGTTGCAGCAGGGGTCACCTCTGTGACGAGGATACGAGGACGATGATGGCGCAGCTGTCGTCGGCTGTCGCACACTTACATCACAACAACGTCATTCATCGGTAGGTGTGACGTAAAAGTATAGCTCACTCATTGGTTCATTGGTAGATAGGAATACATGAGTATTCATGCTTTTGGTCAGCACCTAATTGCTGCAGGAATGTGATATAGTATATCTACATGTACCTTATATTTCTAAGTTCATCCTCATCCTGGTAGCAAATTCTGGACTGAGAAACAGTAATGTCAGAACCTATTTCTGGCAGGTTCCACTATATCATAAGGCTGGCATAACGTCCTATTTCTGGCGGGTACTATCATAAGGCTGGCCTGCATGTGCTTATTTGTTTTCCAGAGACATCAAACCCGCAAACATTATAGTCAACAAAGAAAATAAACACATCACACTAATAGGTAAGTTGTAGTCCCAAAACATGGTATTGGCATCCAAGATCTGATCTTGAATACATTCTTATTTCCATAGTCAGACGGTCCTACGGGGATTGGAGATGCTTGATCGACATCTTTTGTGAATATGATATGATTTGAATTGGAATCATCCTGGCCACAAAACCTGTTGATCAGTATAGCTTAACCTCGACATGAATACCAGGTGTCACGATGAGGGGCTATTTACACTCATTGATCATAATCATTATCATCATCGTCGTCGTCATATTTAATCATCTTTGTCGTCGTCATCGTCCTCCTCATCTCATCATCATCATCATTCAATACAAACATTCACCTGAAGGTTTTCTATTCATGCTGTGTCTGATATGCTTGATGACCCCTTTGATACGTGTAAATTGATAATGACCCCTGATCATCATCATCATCATCATCAATACAAACATTCACCTGAAGGTTTTCTATTCATGCTGTGTCTAATACGTGTAATTGATAATGACCCCTGATGGGCAGCTACGCCGTACCCCTTTAAATCATTCTCCCGTTCAGAAATCGTTCTATCGTAATTCCAGATTACATAAAGTTATTGTCTCGATGCGAAATGCGTTAATATATTCTCTAGTATTATTGGTATATGTACATACTCGCAAATGGGTTTGCAGACTTCGGTTTGAGTACACGGTTCCACGAAGATTCTCCCGTGACCCGCCAGTGTGGGACACCGATCTACACGGCGCCCGAGGTGTACTCGGGTGCACGGTATGGGCCACCAGTCGATGTGTGGAGTTTGTAAGTATGAGGCAATTTTTTCTGACAGTGAACGTCTGACACTTGTTTAATGAAAGATCATTCGGATTGTTCGAATACATGTGCTTTCGCTTTGTCATCAGCGCCGATAAAACATCCGTTAATATATCAGAACTAAACATGCATCGGGAAGCAAGCGTGTAGAGGAAATACTCGAACTTAACACGTCCATGAGTCTATCATACAGACCCTTAAACAAATATACCTAATGCAGTGCATGCAAGTGTAGAATATGTGGCAAGTTCAGGTTACTTCATCTCAGCGACTACATTATAAGTCGTTCACTGGTCTCGAGGAGGACATGGGCTGATGTACCCTCGGGCTCAGGGAGCATAAAGAAACATCGAGGGTACATCAACCCTTGACCCTGAGTGACAGTTAACAACGTATTTATCTTACCGAACACTCAATGGTAATTTTGAACTGTTTGAAGCACGGTATCGGATCATAGTATGGAGTACCAGACAAGACAAGAAAAACAAACTTAGCGTTATCTCCCTTCCATCGATTTGCATTCGCAAAACATCGGTAATTTCCGTACACCCTACACGATTCAATGTTATTCGAGATAAAGAATTACTACTACGAAGTGCCAAATGAGTTCGGCATTCCCAGCGGGGTACATATATACATAGAAAATGTTACTCGCTTGTACACATTGAAAATAATAAAAGAACACTCAGCTAATCAGAAAGCGACATTTATATGTGAAGCAAGAAAAGTTATATTATACCATCTACACGTTGGTTAGTTTTATTTGTTGTTTAACCCACACTGTGAGTAACTCAATTTTGTTTGACGACTCTCTGAACAGTAGTTCAGTTACATCAGTGGAGCATCAGTTTTTGTGTTCATTTTTTGTCACTTACTGATCCACTCATTCACTCACTCATTTACTGATTGTGCTCTTTGTATATCTCTCAACGTATATATTTTGTCAGCTGACCATATTTTTATGTTTAAGAGGGGTGATTCTGTTTGAAATGCTGACTGGCAAACCCCCGTTCGTGTCGGACCGGCCGAGGAGCATGACACAACTGTACGGGTGTATACTGAAGACAGTCGTCGTGCCACATAGCCTACAGCAAGGTACGCACAGCATCTGGCGGCGATATACTTAGGTCTTATAGTGGTAGTCCAGAGATGTGTGCTTTAGTCACAAAACGACTTGACCTATTAACATGCAAGGTCTTGTGAAACATTAGTACCACCCTTGAGTTCTTCAGCGTCAGGTTGATAATTATATTACATATTTAAATATTCAATATACACATATACCTGCCAACTCTCACGCCTTTTGCTTGAGACTCACGCTTTTGTTACTAATGTCACGTCCTCACGTCAAAAACTGATAAATCTCACCCCAAACCGGGCTCAGTTGAAACATTTAAGGTAGAGCAGTTATTTTCTTGAGCATGCACATTTTGACCACTTAAAATCACACACATAGGTCTGAATAAATCGTTTTCAGTGACTTTTCTGAGAAGGAAATTTGCAATTATGCGTGGACTTAAGGGTGGATCCGGCCCCTGAACTCGCCACCAATTTCCACCCTGGACCCGACACTTGAACCTCGGCATTGCAAGCTGTTTTTCTCTCATAGGGTTGGAAGCTCTGTCTGTATACGCTTGCTGATAACGGCATTTAATTGTTATTTACAAAACGATCTGTTGATACTTATATCATAAAAGAATACATTACATGCCGAATATCGCGATTGTTTTTCCCAGATTGTGCTGACCTCGTGAAGTCCCTCCTCCACATCGACCCGCTCGGTCGACCCACCAGCCGTCAGGTCTTGAATCACCCCCTGGCTTCGTCGAGACACTGATCAAATGTCGAACACTGGAAGCGACGGGGATGTCAGCTCGAGTTTTCACGATTATTCTGAGAGACAATGTTCATCGCAGTCGAATCAAAGCCAAACAGACGTTCATCAACAATGCGAGAGTGTTTTATTGTGACCCCGCCACACTGAAGATTCGTCGTAGCGGATGGCGATGGTTGTGTAGTGTTGACAGACCGACAAGAGTGACCTCCCTTTAACGTACTCATCTTGGACAGTGTGATGGGTGATTGTGAACTGACTCAGTGACTGCAACTTTTGTCATAAATGCCTGTGAAACGTTTACGGAATGATGTATCATTATTTTCATGGAAATCATGTATTTGCAAAATTAAAACAAATGTAAAAATTATAACAATGTATTATTATTCAGTTTCGTTTGTTACTGTATACAAATTGGAAAACGTGACCAATTTCAAGTCGACTCAAACGTTCGATTCGCCGCACAGAGTTACGTCCCTTAGGTGTGACAGAATCCGGTGATCGGTGGTTTGGGTCTCATATACAACGTGATTTAAGTTTATGATTTGCCAAAGTGAGTGAGTGTAGTTTTACACCGCTTTTACCAATATTCCAGCAATATCACGGCGGGGTACACCAGAAATGGGCTTCACACATTGCACCCACGTGGGGAATCGAACTCGTGTCTTCGGCGTGACGAGCCAACGCTTTAACTAGTAGGCTACCCCACCGCCCCTGATTTGCCAGAACACTGCCGCCCCTATACGTGGTATCTGTAACTATATGTCACGAATCAGTTGAAGTTAAGCAACCTCGAGCTCGGACAAAACCTTGGATGGGTGACCGTGTTTGGCAGCTTGGCTCCTGAGAGTTTCTAGGACTTCAGTCCTGCTCCACAACGAAGCACATGTGATGCATGTGGTCTCACCTTAGGCAACTGAGTTTGTTCAAATTGCCTCTGTTCACACAGCAGAAAATGGGTACCCGGTGGAACTTGGATAATGTCATGTGACTATAACCTTCTAGCGCCTAGCAGGCAGCTTGAGTTCTACGGGGTAATAAATAATCAGATTCTGATTAAGCGCCGCGAGCAATCACTTGGTGTTTGGAGATGACATATTATTATTATCTGAAGTGTTAAAGAGTCGGAAACCGACACGCCCTAATGTATAACCGGAATTCTGTTAAAGCGGGGTTAAATCCCTTACTCTTTATCATTAAGTACAGTAGTGTGATCCTTGAAAACGCCCACTCATGAGGAAACAATATTGAGTATATTTCCTCAACATGTGGAGAACGCATTTCACCTCAACAACTCTTCATATCCAACTACATTCTCCTATCTAGGAGCAACAATTGTATTAGGCGACTGAAAGGACATATATATTTTTTCATTTCTTATAAAACATTAAACAACGGATGTAACGAACTCAAAGGAAGCAATAATTTTAGTTCGTTATAACCGTAGTTTTTTTATATACATTTCGGATGAAACATACTTCAAGTGGCCAGGACCAAAACCGTGTTCGTCATATCCGCTAGTTCGTGATAAGCGTGTTGGTTGTGACTGGTTGAATCGATTCATGTTACAGGTCACGATGACATGTAATTTGTGGAGTATAACCTATCTCCGATGTACATATATGAAACGCGATGCCTCTCTTCGTGTATGACATGGAATACTATAAGAGGCGTTGCCAAATAAAGTCAATAGCTATATTGGAATATAGTTTAACTCTACAGATTGCAATATTTTCAAGAAAACCCGTCCCGAACTCCGTTAGTTTTGAAACAGATAAATCAAGAGAAATCCGCCTGTTGTTTAAAATGGCCTAATTTATATGCCGATTTGTTATGCGTTATATTTAGAAACGATTTCGAGTTTACATACCAGTTCTACCATTTACCGTTAACCTACACGATATGAATTGAGATCCATTCGTAACCACTCGCCCCTTTCCGTCACCTGCACGACGCAGTTCGGTTTGTCCCGTGAGGACCGAGTGGTCCAAAATGCAATGCGACCGAGAGAGCCGCGTAGCGTCGTTATGATAATACCATGACGTCACAGACATTTACGGAAGCATGACGTCACAATCACTTCAACCTCGTCACAGATCAGCGACGGCAGTGTACACTATGTTCCCGATGTAAGTCTCCATCAGTAGATGTAGAACTGAATGTATGGGTGTAAGGAAGCTGGGTTACCTGCCCCCGTCCACAGCTGAGGTAAGCGATGCTTACCAGGACTGTGGTCTGACAGGGGTAACCGGCACACCCCACTATAACGCCAACACACGCCGGGTACAGTTTGCTAACCAGGCCGAGGACAGGAATCCGCTGGAACAAGAGTTTCTCGAAAGGTAATGACGCGTGAAGATACCGGTTAGAATTGGTCTTCAGTAGCCCATAAGAGGTGACAATCAGGTACAGGTGGTCAGGCTCACTGATCCGGCTGACACAAGTCATCGTATCCCAATTGCGTAGATTGATGCTCCGGTTATTAATCACTGGATTGTCTGGTCCACACTCGATTACTTACAGACCTATATAGCTATATAGATTTAATATAGCTGGTGTGGCGATAACCAACAAACAAATAAAACAAAAATGGCAATGCAGTTTAAAAAACATCACCATGATATATACTGCTCTTAAACGAGGAACTAATTTGGCTCGTGTAAAAATGAAATAATTCCCCACTTCTTTCAGGAACAAATTAGTTTAACGTCATCTTTGTATATAATCCAATTGGATATGGATGGTACCAATGTACACCGAAGTACATTGTAAAATGATTTATCCATAACCGGCTATTCTTCAAAAAAGCGAGACTAAGCTTGTTCTCCAACCACACTCTTACAAACAGAACAGAACATATGAACACTGGCATTTGTGTAGTCGTCGTTCTGGGACCAGTTGCACTTAAGGTTTGACCCGTGAAGATCCGGGGTAGAATAGGTCTTCAGCAACCCATGTGCTTGCCATAAAAGGCGACTATGCATGTCGTAAGAGGCGACTAAGGGGATTGGGTGGTCAGGCTCGCTGACTTGGTTGACACATGTCATCGGTTTCCTATTGCGCGGATCGATGCTCATGCTGTTGATCACTGGATTGTCTGGTCCAGACTCGATTATTTACAGACCGCCGCCATATAGCTGGGATATTGCTGAGTGCGGCGTAAAACTAAACTCACTCACTCACTTCACTTAAGGTTTTCATCTAAATCGAAATACAGTAAGTATGTCGAAATATGAAATTTAAACTCAACAACGGATAGTCTGTGTGACTGTCTGAAAGCTTTTACTTTGATAAATAAATACACAACTTTTTCTCTCATCTTATATCCGTAAGTATTACGAGGGAAAATTACACAAGGAAGCATTATTTTAGACTACATGTCTACTAGATTTCCACAATAACGATGATAGTATACAATTTCAGGGCAGACCTTCCTGTATATGATAGATACTTTAATCCGTATATTTTTACGGTTAGACTTGACTGATTCCTATTTCACTGAACATGTGGTTTAAATGTGGCTCTTATTCTTAATGCCTAAGTTGATGAGAAACGTCAGATACAGGCAAGCAAATACCGATGTTTAATCGTTGTCAGAGTCGGGCAATCAAAAATACCGTTATAAAACGGCCATATAACGGGATACAATAAAAGCCCGTCATTACAAATCTCCGTATCAATGATATCTACAGGCTGGTATGCAGTAAGTACTGCAAATGCCCTCGGTAAAAAATGTTTTTTAGTGTTATTAAATGAGACCGTCCACATTGTTGTCGTCTCTGTTTCTCAAAAGCTAAATGTATGAAGAATAGATGAACGTGCACCTCGTTCTGGTGACCTTCATTTTCCGACCTATATTTTCCCTATCCTTCCAGAGGGACAGATAACACGGCTCTTAAGTCGATGGTTTTTCTACATTTCTCGTATTCGCACATGCAGTTGACATAGATAAATAGTTCTATGGACAGTCAATTTCTTCTTCATTGGTAATGGTAAGCAGAGGGCATCACATGTTTGAAAACGGTGTTAGTATAAACACCGAAACGTCACATTCATTGCAATAAACAAGTTGACTATCCATAGAACTTGGTCTTCCTTCATTTTAACAACTTCTAAAGTGCCTCTCAAAGAAGTTATGATTAGTTAAGGCTAGTAATGAAAGTGGAAAGTACATGACAAATGCTGCATTCTAAATGTTCACAAAGGTTTAGACTTCTGAGCATTCAACTCTTCGTTCTGAATCCCGGAGTGAGTGAGTGAGTGAGTGGGTATTGTTCAACTCAAACGTCAGCACCTTTACATCCACATCACGACATCTAAAAACTCGTCTGGGCCAGAGAAACTGGACACTAAAAAGCAACGATTTTGAAGCATCCTGGTGCACGCATAAGGAGCACGACAACCATGATAATTGTGGTACAACCAGGGTCCCGAATCTCCAGGTTACAAGTTGTATTTGTCTTCTTAAATGTGGATTGGATGTGTAATATGGCTCCTGTGTACGCTAACAGAAAAAACCTTCCAAACTGGCTGTGTGGGTCGTTTCTCATGACCCATTATTTACAGGATCCCTTGGTACAATACATGAAACATATGATTCTTAAATACCCCTGAACAATATCCTCAACATTACTACTCAAAATACTCCCTTGCCCCCTTCGCTGAAGAAATGGTTTTATGTCTTTCAAAATAGATCTCTGTCCACCGAGCAGTGAATTCTACTGCCTCATATGCATGTTGTATACTCCCCGAGAAGCTGAGAATGTTATTCTTGAGAACACCTGTCTATTATCCGGGATAATGGTAGCGACCTGAGCATGCCGCAGTACATTAATTATAAAACATAATGCTTGCACAGAATTATTCATTCATTCGTTCTTTACTTCAATTGTTCATTCCTTTACAGGGTAAAAGAAAATGTCCCGAATCATTTTGACGATGTTGATTTCCCTGAGAGTGAGGCTCCAGTCAAGTCAGCATATACATACTCCAACTCAGTCTGCAAACATCCCCAGAAGGTCTCACAGGTATGTCAACACCCAGGCCCACGTGCACAAAGCGACATTAACGCTGCGATGATCGTAGCTCCCTCTAACAAGGACCTGAGATAGTCGTAGTTCCCAGGTCTCTTTGAGCAAGTGGGGCAAGGACCCAGTCCAGCTAACCCAGAGTAGTTGAGCCAGAATCCGAAGATTATCCCTGGTTTTCAATGCTGGGGCCCGATCCACAGAGCGCTCGTAGTACTACGATATTCGTAAGCCTATGATACACTTAATACTTACGATGTTCTACGGAGATAGATATATATACACATTACTAAATTTGATACGAAAATATTCATGGGTCACCGTCTTGGCTGAAGTTATGGTTATGATCAAGAAGCATTCCAAAAACTGTCAACAAAATTGCATCTTTTTAGTGTTTTATAACAGACTTGTAATATATAGTCAAATACCATTGTGTCGATCCTCCGTTTGTCTCGAAGTAACAACTATCATTGGTCCCTTCGCTTGCTTTCTTTATTCATCCCTTTTCGGTTGTGTCGAAACTTGGATAACCGTCAATAATAATTCACTGGAACCCATCCGCTCTTGGCAAGTAGATAAGACGAAAGTCGAAAAAGGCCCAAACTGGTAATTTTGTCTGTTATAAAGTTACAACCACTTCAAACTGTCCCATCCCGACGCCTTTCAGATGATCACACCTATTGTATTTGTTCTAACCATTCGCTGCCGATATCATTCGACATTTTATTAGCACTTCAAACATTTGCTGCCGCTGAGAATAACTCAATTATATCTACCACAGTTTTTTAGAGTTACTGGTACTCTGTGATGTTATCGACCTCCAGAGACAGCGTGACACGCGATCGTGCCTGTTGCAACATCGCGCTGACATGTTGTGGGCTGAACTAAACATGATTACTGTGGAATTGTGATGTCTGTGCAGGTGAAAGTGCAGGACTTCCTGTCGGCCTGTGAGGTGGAGGTAGACCGACAGAAGAAGCGGCGCTGTCAGAAACCTGACTTCCTCCGCGTCGAGCCCCCCGAGTGTGAACCTGGGGACGACTGTGTCCCCTGCCAGGTGCAGCAGCTCAAGAGGGACCTTCGTCGACGACACTCCACGGGACGCTGGCCCGACTGTAAACTCTGTTACAGGTGAGGCGCGTGCGTGTGTATGTGTGCGCGCACGCACGTGCTTGTGTGTGCGTGCGCGTATGTGCGTACTTGTGTGCATGTGTTTGCGTGTGTACGTGCATGCGTGTTGCTGGTGAGATGGTGTTTAATGTCGTCTTTACAATATTCAAAATGTAACAGTATACAGTGTCTGTTTAAGGGGGGAGGAAATCCCGAAGTGCTAAAGGATCGAACCCCGAACTTTTTCATCCACCAGACCACTGAGTAGATCATGGTCCTTAAAGATCCTAAAGGGACAGTGGAGTAGCCTAGAGGTTAAAGCGTGAGCTCGTCACGCCGAAGACCCTGGTTCGATTCCCCACTTTTTCCCAACTGCGAAGTCCATTTCCGGTGTTCCCCGCCGTGATATTGATGGAATATTGCTAAAAGCGGCGTAAAACTAAACTCACTCACTAACAATGCTAAGATTTACCGAGCACGTGGTTCAAAGTGCAGGTAAACAAGTAAACATATACATTTCACAGGTCAGGACTTTGGGAGTCCATATACCTGGACGTCAAGACTACAGCATCTCTTATTCAGGCATATGTAACATCTCGTCTTGACTACTGTAATGCGCTTCTTGTGGGTCTCCCAAATTCTTTTATACACAAGCTTCAGAAGGTGCAGAATACTGCAGCCAGAGTGGTCTCTCAGTCAAAGAAATCAGACCACATTACTCCCGTTCTTCACTCACTTCATTGGCTTCCCGTCCACTACCGCATAAAATATAAAACTCTACTCCTTGTTTTCAAAAGTTTACATGGTCTAGCTCCTCAGTACCTCTGTGATCTGTTCCACCGTTATACTCCTGTACGTTCAACTCCGATCAAATGACCAGTGTCTTTTGACAATTCCTGTGACTAGGACAAAAACATATGGTGACAGGTCACTCGAGACGACTGGCCCTCATCTCTGGAACAATCTTCCATCTCACCTCAGAACACAACCAGATTTAGCTGTTTTTAAATCAAATCTGAAGACGTGTCTCTTTGCTGAAGCATTTGAACTCTATGTGATATCTAGACCATCTTAGAGCCAGAGCGCCTTTGAGCGGATTACGGATATTGGCGCTATACAAGTATTTGTATGTATGTATGTATATCACAGTGGTTTAAATAACTTACTTGCATTTCGTATCGAGTATTCTGTCCCTAACGGTAACTGTTTTTCAAAACAACGCAAATCAATGAAATTGGTAACTTATCGTTAAACTTAGACATGTAAATCAATTCTACTTTAATCAATTTATCAACGGAGAAAGTTCATACTTGAAGTAAACATGTTTACTAAGTTACCATATGCTTCTGACATTTAATCCGGGTCCCCAAACCTTCATTGCATATTTTGGTTACGTTTTCCAAGAGCTGATCACTAACGCAGCAGTTTTCAACGTTGACTTTATCTGTTGTCACGCACGGAGGAACAGGTATGTGGGTAGATTTTCACCCCTCCTATCGGTGTCAACCTCTGTTTTGTTGTCTGTCACGTGTGTTTACCCCCGGGGTCCGAGTTCAAACCGTTTCAGAGATATCAACTCAGGAAATCCATTACCCAAACCTTTCACCACCGAACGCCATGATAAAATGCACGATGTGAGTATGCCATTCGTCTGTGTATTTTACAAACATACTTACAGTATAATACGGTTTAGCGGTTTTGGAGTATACGTTATAACCGTGAATGACAATTCGTAGATATGTGCCGCTTCTTAAGTGGAAAACCAGGTAGAAAAGCACATGTACCTTCGCGGCTGGTTTAGATTTGTGTAAGTTTGTATCGCCACACAAAGCAAAGGTCCCGCTTTATAATGACTGCCTGTACACGATATGGTATGAACCAGTGAATGTATGAACCAGTATGAACCAATTCAGTGATTAATGTCATGAGCAGCTATCGGGGTACGAATTCAGTGTGACTACCCGATCCATTAAGCCGCCTCTTATGCCCATTAAAACTGATCTGGGCTTCCTTTCACAAAGCACTAAGGTGACCGTAAGTCACTTAGGTAACCTTAATGCAATGTTAAAGAATGGGAGTTAATACTTCAGTAAAGGTTGTTTCGTGAAAGGAGACCCTGGACATGTTCTAACCAGAGGTCTCGGCACAGTCGCTGTCCCAGTCGCTGTACAGTTGCGTCCCTTTGGCCACGCCAGAGACCCACGACCGTGGGTTCGAATCCCGGTTCGTTATGTATCTGGGTTCGTCGACATCATGCCCGAGCTCGCGGGTGTTGACGGTATAATACTTGCTTCACGTTTGGATTTCTTCCCATTAAGCTGACACGCTGTGATTTGATGGAATATTGTTCAAGGCGGCGATACACCCAACTCACTCTCTCTTACCCTGGGTCCAGACACGATTATTTACAGACCGCCACCATATATCTGGACTATTGCTGAGTGCGGCGTAAAACTAAACTCACTCACTCTCTTATCCTGAACCGTCACTAGGTTAAATTTGCACAATGCGATCTGCGGCGGTCTGTAAATAATCGAGTCTGGACCAGACAATCCAGTGATCAACAGCATGAGCATCGATCTGCGCAATTGGGAACCGATGACATGTGTGAACCAAGTCAGCGAACCCGACCACCCGATTCCGTCAGTCGCCTCTTACGAAAAGCATGGGTTAATGCAGATCAATTTTTTAACCCGGACCTTCACGGGTCTCCTGCAAAATGGCAAATCACAGGTATACTGATGTGCACAAAATGTGCCAGGTGTATATGCGGGTTAGAGTTTGTTCTCAGCAGCCCGTATCCATCGCAAGAGACGACTAACGGGGTGGGTGGTCAGGCTTGTTGACTTGGTTGACCGTCAATGCGTATCATGTCAATCATTTGATTGTCTTGTCCAGGCTCGATCTTCATACCGCCAATTGTAATATTACAGAATGTGGCGTTAATCAGCAAAACAAAATTAGACAGGATATATGACATGTTCCGTAACTTAGAACCCTTATTTAGTTGACACCTTGATATTACGGAAATAATGTTCAAAACGACGTATTACTCCATTCACTAACTTACTTTCATTACCAGATACCGCATTCACCGTGCCGACATGAAGGAATCGGCGGACACTCAGTCCAAGGTGATCCCTGTGTGTAAACAGGCGGTCCTCAAGGACAAGCTGGGAGTGAAGACACCACCCCCTCCTCCAGCGTCCGTCATGGCCATACTAGCCTCCCCCGGGGCCACGCCCTCTCCGATTTCTCACGGGACGCCGGACTCCGAGTACGACACGGAGAAGAGGGATCAGCTGATCAAGAAGTTCATCCCCAAGCCCAAGGTCATCCACTACGAGTGCCAGCCGAGGGATCGAGTGTTCTTCTACACAGAGGAGACAGCCTCCCAGGGAATCGTGCATCAGCCGTACCTCTTCCAGAAGCGTCAGGTTGTCCTCACCAACGGGAAGAAGAAGTCGAAAAAGGCGACTAACCGTGAGTCCGAACTCTTCACCTTCGTAGTCTGTAATGCTGTACTTTGGAACCCGTAAAGATCCCGGTTAGAATTGATCTTCAGCAAAACATACTTGTCGCGTATCCCAATTGCGTAGATCGATGGTCATGCTGTTGGTCACTGGACTATCTGGTCCAGACTCGATTATTTACAAACTGCCGCCATATAGCTGGAATATTGCTGGAGTACGGCGTAAAACAACAACCAAACCAAACCATATCAAACCTTAGCTTCGCAGTGTGTTTGGCGACTGCTTTAAGCCAAGAAACGATTGATAAAGTGTTTAAAGCTTATCAAGTGTTTACTTTATATAATACTATTCAATACCAGTATACATTTACCTAGCGATTGCGCTAGGAACGGCCCTAACCCGTAAATAGCGGCAGGGGCTTATGTTGAGCCAAGCGCTTAAACACAAATACACGAAAGACGATATATTTTACGTACGTTGCATCTGCTCGGCACATACTACATTCAAACGGTCATTTCATTTGTGAACCCAACGGTTTTATGTGTAGCATAGCTAGTCTGCAGTCTTTTGTGGCACAATACCAACAAGACTTCCTTGTTAGGGTTTATTGGTGCTCATTCCATATAGGTAACACAAGAAGCAACCAGCCGGTATAATATTGCTGGGCGGTGGAGGGTGTAACTGCTAAACTGCTGACGCGGCGTTAAACAATACTCACTCACTCAAGTGTACAATTATTTCTGAATCACTTTCCAATGTCCAATGATACTGCTAGAATGTTGCTAAACATGGCGCCAAAAAGCATTCACTCACCCACGTCATTCCCTCTGTTTGCAGCTACGTACACCGTCTCCCAACTCGGCCTCGTCTTCACCCTCCCCGACCACAACCCTGCCCTCCCAGAGCGGCACCCTAGTCCACCCATGAGGAACTGGAACAAGAATACCGTCCTTCCGCCGATCAGTGTCCACAAGGTCCAACGAGACGACATGAACATCAACCACCCGGATGTAGACACGGCTGGGTGAAACAGCCACGTGCTCTGGTTGACCTTTTGTCCTTGAAACTGAGTTTCTTACACATGTATTAGTTTTCTGTCGTGGATGTCTGGTGATGAGAATGTACGGGAGTAAGAATTGCTTTGTACATCACCATGTTGATGCCTTCTCTGGGGAAATATTTGGGTCTGTGTTGAGACGTAGATCCTGGTTCATGTTCCTCCAGGTAATTATCAGGTGCCTGTGTATATTTTCCTGAATAGTAAACTCAATCATGTATGTTTCATTTTGTTATTTTCTTTTGAATATGCGAACTGTACAAGTTGTGGCAAACAAAGAATGACGACTGGAAACCTGAGTAACTAACTCAACTAATATGTATTTTCTGAGAAGCAAAGGTTGGTTTGTTGTTTAACGCCGCACTCGGCGATATTCCACCCATATGACGGTTTGTAAATAATCGAGTCTTGACCAGACAATCCAGTGATTGATATCATGAGCATCGATCTGCGCATCTGTGATACGATGACATGTGTCAACCAAGTCAGCGAGCCTGACCACCCGATCCCGTTAGTCGCCTCTTACGACAAGTATGGGTTGCTGAAGATCAATTCTAACCCGGATCTTCACGGGTGTTAAAACTAAGGTGGAGCAAAAAAAGAATGACGACTGAAACTCTTACTCACTAACTCTACTGGGCTCTTTTTCTGAAAAGCAGTGGACTTACATCTGCATGATGTAAAGATCTATCTTATCGAGGATAAGTCCTCAGTAACGGGGTATTTGTTGTGTGATAGGAGTCAGAATGTGTCACATAGTTGACCATGTGTCACCTGACCTTGAGGTCATAGGTCGATACTGAAGTTATCAACCACTATTGTTATACCTCTAGCCGGAGTTTTTTAATTTCAAAATATTTCTCAATGTTCATCCAGCAACAGAAAACCGGAAGTCGTTGTCAAGTCATTCACACTGACCGTAAATTGTGACTTGTCATGTGACCAAAACTGATTCATGTCGAACATCTACCCGAGAAGATCCGGGTTAGAATTGATCTTCAGCAACCACTGTTTGTTGTAAGAGGCGACTAACGGGATCGGGTGGACAGGCTAGCTGATTCGGTACATGTCATCGCATCCCAATTGCGCAAATCTATGCTCATGCTGTTGATCACTGGATTGTGTGGTCCAGACTCGATTATTTACAGACTGCCGCCATAAAGAAGGAATATTGCTGAGTGCGGCGTAAAACTAAACTCACTCACTCACTAAGGATCACGTACGGATCCAACAAATACAGATTAAAATGTGCCGATACGCAGTCACTGGATAACCTCTATAGGACCTACGTTTCATGATGAACGGAAAGAGGCTTGAAATCGTGTGGGTTAGATGCTTGAATATCGGGTGTCTCGATGCTTACACATGCATATACTTATCAAAGAGCACAACAACGTTGTAAGGAATGCATCAAATGAATGTAAACCTGTCCCCTCACTGTCAAAGACGTCGTTTGGCGACTGAAGAATTAAGCAGATGGTTGGAACAGGATCAACACGCTGAAAACGTTTTAGGTGTCACCCAAAGTGTTAGCAGGGCATGGAATCGACCCCGCTTCAGGCGTTTGGATCTGCTGCCCAGCAATATGCGGGTGGTCGACAGCGTTCTACTACACACTGGGACGTCATTACTTCGTGTCGCCAACCAAGCTTTTGAAGTGGTGATCCTTACCAAAGTATGAACAGAATATATGCTTCATTTAAGTCATTCAATATATTCGACAGGCAGCTTCATAAATTAACGTCAAACTCTTGTTGTCAACCAGAACATTAATAATTCATCGTCTGTATAATTGTCATTGAAAGCTGTCACTACGGTGTATGCCTCATTCAATCATTCCGCATGCTGTCATTACGACTTGTTGCAGATGTACGTGAAAATCTCGGTGTTAAAGGGGTACTTCCCGATATCCTTCCCAGCAACGTTCTGTTCCAGGATGTCACGGATTTTGGCGAGAGTCTGGCGTTGTTCCTCTTCCTCCAGGGCGCATATCATACTGAATGTTGAGTAATAGTTGCGGATTGCCTCCACTGTTCCCTGTAACAAAGGGACACAGTACAGCTTAGTATTGGTATTGTGCAATAAAGAGAGACCATTAATTGCACACGTCTAGAATTAGAAAACACGACCAGATTGTGCCTTGACTGTGTGGTTTAAAGGGACGCAACTCTGCAAGGCAACTGGGGTATCTGTGTACACCTATCTGTACAAGAGGTGATACGACGGACGAAGAGTGAGTGGGTGAGTTTTCGCCGCTTTTAGCAATATTTCAGCAATATCATGGCGGGGGACACCAGAAATGGGCTTCACGCATTGTACCTATGTGGGGAATCGAACCCGGGTCTTTGGCGTGACGAACGAGCGCTTCAACCACTAGGCTACCCCACCGCCCGGCGGACGTATGGACAAACAAACATGTCGGAAGAGGGCAGTTGGTTGGGGTACATTAGGGCCTTTTTAAGCAGGTCTTTCAACTCAGCGCAAGAGGACCCGCGAACACGTGTGTGGGGTTGACAACCTACGAAATATCATCAGAGCACGATCACAAGTTCCAGGCACGTCAAAGGGCCACAACTCCCCATATTGACTGAATTGCAGGTTCAGCCATTTGTTGACCCCGAGAAGGACAGAAATGTATATTTTCTACTCGATTCAATGCAAGGAAATTTCAGTATATGCCTCATTTGAACTTCCGCCATTTTCGTCATTTGAATTAGCTGTGTTGTCGAATCCTAAACTAATGGTTAAACTTTTAACTTAATATAAGTGATATCTCGGATATCGTTTAAATGTGGGAGCTAATCCTTAAGTACCAGAGGTCGTGGATGTTTATTTGAACAAGCACATGGGGCTTGTTTCGTCATCGTGCTGAATCTGGGATTCGAACTCAAGATGAGCATATCCTGGCGATCATCGCGATCCGGACGCAAACACAAAACATTTGTTTCAGCTTTTCTTTATAACGTGAATATGTTTCTTTCATAAATAAATATTTGAACTCGAACTAACACGTTATTTGGATTATGAAAAAACGTTAATCATATTTCATATTTAGAAGAGAGATGTTACACTCTAAAGGAGAAGAAACGGATAAGTCTTGCTGTTAGTTACATGAGTAAGAGCTCACCTCTAACGGAGTTCCTTCTTTTTGCTGATGAGCCTCGTTCCTGAAACCGGAATACCCCTGGAAGACCTTCCTCCAGTTGAAGGTCGTGGGCAGCTTGTCCGCTCCCTCTCCGGCAGCTGTGGCCAAAATCCCCTCAATCTGCTTCACCCACGGCACTGAGACGTCCCGCATGTTCCATACCAACACTGTACAATAACAACACAATCGGTATGCATGCATTGATTGGTAGTGAGTGAGTGAGTGAGTGAGTGAGTATGTTTATATGATGCTTTCACGTTAGCAATATTCCAGCAACATCCCGGCGGGGGGACACAAGAAATGGGCTTCACATATTGTACCCATGTTGGGAATCGAACCCGGGTATTCGAGGTGACGAGCGAACGCTTTAACCACAAGGCTATCCCACCGCCCTGTTCCTTGATAATCGACGCACTGTAACGTTGTACAGATCTGTATGAAAGTTAAATAACTACGTTAGGAGATGGGTTAAAAATGGATTATAAATAGATGTGTTTTGCTAAATAATGGTAAAATAATTGAGGTTGGACCCTGAAAACCCCAATTCACCAGAATGGTTGCATGTTATGCAGAAATGGACAACATATACAGGAAACTAATACACCACGGAATTATGCCCAAACGTAAACCCGTAGTAAAAATACCATTCTGCAGTTAAACATGGGTACACTACTCAGCAGTATACTGGCTCCGAGCCGACATATCATTCTTCAGTCGCCTTAGTTCCGGGCGCTACGTAGTGTAACAACACGGGCCATCTATTGGTATGACACTGCTGGGCATCGAACCGACGACCCTCCGCTATCTGGTGAAACGCTTTATCCAGTAGACCACAAGGTCGTCTCACAAGGGTGCAACATGACCAGTACGGCTTCCATCTCTGTGATATTGCAGGAATATTGCTGAACACGGCCTAAAGCTAAACGCAATCACGCCTTTTAGTTGTCTTGCGAATAGGAGGCTGTACTGTATACTTATCCGTAATCGCAATGGAGTTCTGAGCTTTGAATGTGACGCGGGGTCCAAACCCTCCAAAACTATCTACACTGAACTATACCATGTCTTCTTCATAATTATTCATCATAAAACATGGGTTTGACCCTCCCCATGCACTGTACAATGAAAGCAATAAATAGTTCTACTTTGGCATACACCAAAGTGGTTTCATAATCTGGCACTGCCATTTGCCAAGACAATTAACCCCAAAAGATTCTTAATGACATACCGAGTTTCCCTTGATCCACCATGACTCTCCTCATCTCATCGAGAGCCGCTTTGGTGGAGAACCAATGAAAGCACTGGGCACATAGAACCGCCTGGAATTGAAAAAAAACCGTACAGATACACACAAGACATATTAACCTATCTCTAATTCAATTAACGGCCGAAGACCCGGGTTCGATTCCCAAAAGGGGCACAATGTGTTAAGCCCATTTCTGGTGTCCCCCGCCGTGATATTGCTGGAATATTGCTAAAAGCGGCGTAAAACTAAACTCAGTCAGTCAGTCAGTCAGTCAATTAACGGTTTACATATTTACCTTCACTGAGTTGTCCGGCAGTGGTATACTGTCTGCCGCGCAATTCTTGGCATCAAGGTTCGGAGACAAACCTTTGAGTGTCTCGAGGAAAGAATCCGATGGCTCTGTTGCTAGGTAACGGGTGCCCTGTACAATCAAAGAAAACTGGCGTAATATCTATATCTGGTCATTTTCTCACCACACAAAACATGCCTGCTCTGAAAATTTATTAGTGTTAGTACTAATAGCATACATTGTTTTGATTTAATGTCATTGCTTGTCATACAGGCTAAAACCGGCGTTCAGCCTCACTCACTCACCTGCGGCAGTTTTTCAAATATTTTTCTCGTGAAGATCCCAGTTCCGGCACCAAGCTCAAGCACTTCATACTGTATCCCTAGAAACACAGAACATATTTGGTTTGTTTGAATGTGTGTTTGTTTCTTACTGAATAACACCAAATCCAGAAGTATTCCAGCTACGTGACTGCCTCACTAACTCAACCGGATCTACAGAGACTGACCATTTTCTGGATCAGGGATGGCTGGATTATTTATTTGAGACGGCATTTATATAAAAAGAGACAAATTAAACATTTTGCACATCCAGTATATTATTTTTTAGAGCTGCCAGTATTTCTGGTCACCGTAGGAGTTTGTAATACCTTAAGACAAATTACCGTTGTTTCAAAAACAAGCCCTGAACGTCATACATATTAATCTAATCTGGACTATCGTCAGTTACTTCAGCCAGGTATTTGTTGAAATTGATACACATGTACCTTTGGTATTTTTGATATTTTCAACTTGAGTTAACTCCCTTGCAATGAGGTCAATAGTCTCCAAGGTGTATGTCGGCCGGTTGGCATCGTAGTGGTCGCCCTAATAAACAACAACAAAACCCGGATGCTAGGCATCAACACGGCAACATTACAATTAAATATACAATTAAAGTAGTTTTCAGAAAATGTGTTTAATCAATACAAACAGGTTTAAGACAATATGAACAATATTGGTTTCAATTCATCTCCTGATTAACACCTGCACTCTGTTTTTGTCTACTATGCAGTTATTTACATACTGAATCTCGAAGAATAATGACAATTATTATGGATATACAACTTCTTTTATTCTGTGGAGGCGACGTTTCGACATAGATTCTAATGTCATGGTCAAGCAAGTGATACATGAGTAAAAAATTGAGAGAATATATACATGAGTTGTTATTACAGTAGATAGGGAATGAGTTGTTTTTACAACAAATGAGGTTGATGTACAACGCTTGTATAAGAGATCGAATAAGTTGATAGGAAGCCAGTAGGGTGACAGTCAAATTGGCGGCCATCTTTGATTTTCTGCCACCAGAGGGCACTGCTGAGGTGGATCCATATCCAGAAATGTTTAGAATTGTTGGATGTATCAGTGAGCCAAGTTTGGTGCTTTTAACCCAAAGTGCACAATTTGACAAAATCCTAGCCTTAATCGCCCACTCGTCACTCGTAGGCGAAGTACAGACTAGACATAATTCCACACGCACAGTGTTTAACTGTCTCCCGCTCTGTCAATGGCTCCACATCAATTTTGTGTCTTTCCTCTCATGCAGTTACCTCCCCGGGCGACCCTTCAGGGTTTTCCTTTCACAATTGTGACAATGTCCAACTCAGTTTATAAATTTGGGGGTTTCATTATACATATAGCTAAAAATAATGAAATAAACTAAACTGTCACTGACAATAATTGTAGAGAGAATTTGAAACGCATGAATTTCTCATACATGTATCAATAACCCAATGTGCCTACAACATTTAACATCAGGCCCCGATTTCTCGAAACAAACTTAAGTTTTTACTCAAATTTCAAACTGAGTTGGACAATTTGAAACAGATGAATGTTTAACTCAACTGCATTTTTTTGAATAAAAAAGCCCAAACAACTTAAGTAATCTATCCACCAAACTCAAATTGTCTACTATGTTTGAGTTTAATATCGATTTTAGTTCATTCTGGGAAATGCATTTTCTCAAATTTGAGCAAACACTCTAACTTAAGTCGAAACTGAGACTTAAGTTTGTTTCGAGAAATCGGGGCCTGTTCTTGTACTGGTTCTACTTAATCAGTTACTTCATCGTTTTAGATGATTTCATCATATACATGTTGGTTACCATCATCACATATTCTTTCATGTTTGTAAAGTTCTTTAATGTCACACAGTCACTCAACAAAATTTCAGCTATGTGACACTGGTCTATTTATAATCTGGATCAGACAATCTCGTGATTGCCATCATGAGCGTGAATCTACGCAATTGGCATACGCACGTCGTACGTGTCGCCTCGTACGACAAGACGCGTCGTGATGACAGAAATTATACAACAGTTCAAAGCGGACGTAAATTGAACAGTCACAATTACATTTACGATCTAAGACATTTAGTTTTAATTGTCAGTATGTTTAACAAATGAAGTCAAATAAAACACAAACAATAACATTACTTCATCATTAATGTATCCAAGGACATACCTATCCCTAAATCACACAAACCAGAAACTATTCCTGCAGCTCTGGCGATTTCAGATTACCTGCCCTTGCTTTTCACAGCCAGTTTGATTTGCTGGTGTAATCTGTCTGACGGACCAATCAGAATTCAAGTTACAAACTAGGGCTGCGCAATATAACCGGCTTACCGGTATTTACCAGTTCAGACATGAAAACGATACGTATTGCGATACGCTGATGGAACACCGGTATTTTGACATGCATTCGGAAAACTTCGTAACACTCGGAAATCTTCGGGTATTTCCGTTTTTTGAATTGTTCTTTTCCCTGTTTCATTAGTGCCAAATGTTAATGCCATTTATATTATGTCATGATTAAAAGTATTTATAAACGGTTAATCGATCATAGTGATTTTGTTTTTGCTTATAATCAAGCATTAACTCGATTATAAGTAGTTTTTGTTAAATAAATAATCCTTGAAATATATCGCAATACATATCGCAATATATGCTTCCGCATCGCAATATATCGCAATATGAAAATTCTCTGCAATACCCACCCCTATTACAAACCAGCCTCATTTTCAGCTTAGAGCAATATTCCAGCAATATCACGACAGGATACACCGGTTTTGACCTTCACACATTGTACCCATGAAAATCGAACCCGGGTGTTCAGCGTGACGAGCGAACACTTTAACCACTAGGCTACCCCACCGTCCCGCGACGACTGGACTTACAGTGGATGTCTTCCCTTGTGAGTAAATATCTCTAATCACCCAACGCACTCACCCTTAAGGTTCTCGTGATGTGTAACAGCAATTAAAACATGTTTGCCACTACTGTAAGGGGGCGGTGGGGTAGCCTAGTGGTTAAAGCGTTGGCTCGTCACGCCGAAGACCCGGGTTCGATTCCCCACATGGGCACAATGTGTTAAGCCTATTTCTGGTGTCCCCCGCCGTGATATTGCTGGAATATTGCTAAAAGAGGCGTAAAACTAAACTCAGTCAGTCAGTCACTACTGTAAGAATGCCACTGTAGCGGAATTCATCAAATTATGTTTCGCAATTTCAACCATTACCAAGTTTGGTTTTATCTCATTTTCAGGTCGTTAACAAACTTAAGTTTCATGGTAATGCCAGATATTTCTTACAACCGTCAAAATCAGTCGGGTCGGAGAAAAAAATAAAGTTTAAGGACAGGCGGCGAACAGCACCCCGCGCCATAAGTTCGTTTGATCATGAACCTTCGGCCGTCGTGATTTCAAAACATGATACAAAAGAGTCATCTGCATGATGAATATATTTTATTTGTGTGAGGTCACATTTCAATAAATAGACTAGCAACGCTTTTACAACTTGAATGTATTTTTCAAACATTTGTTTATCTTCAAAAACGTAAATGTAGGTAGCCTAAACGGGGCTATTTTATATGTACGAAGGGATAGTCGTGTCTGGTTCAGATACCGATCAATAAAATCATGTGTATTTCAATGTAAGTCACTGCTCACTCAGCAGCCTCAACCAAAACCACGTGTTACTGGCCATGGTACTTCTTAAGACACATGTAGATTGCAGTGATGAGTGACGCTAATTAATAAAAATGACATGTCTTGCTAGTACAGTGCTCGTTACCCAAACGCGTGCATTTCGTGTTGCAAAGGACACGTACAGATGTAGATAGCAGTGGTGATTGACGCCAATTAATAGAAATGCCATGTCTTGCTGTACAGTGCTCGTTACGCAAACACGTGTATCTGGAGTTTCAAATAACACTAATTAATGAAAATAACATGTCTTCTGGTAATCCTTACCAAAACACTTACATCAAGGGTTTAAAATGACACTGAAAGATACAAGATAACAGTACCAAATCATGTGCAGCTAGGCCGTCTTATGACAAGTGTAGATGTAGATTTCAGTGGTGAATGGAATCTGAATAGAATCGTTGTCCCTTGTTTCCGGGTGTTTCTGAAGGATAGCCCGGATGTCACCCAGAGCTTGTTGGGAGCGCTCGCTAGTGAGACCCGCCAGTACACTAATAGACGATATGTGATCCACCACGAAATCCTGGTTACCCTGGCAACGAAATGTATAAACTTGACATCAAAGTTAAAAGAGGGATATGAAAGACAAAGAATTCAAAGAAATGACGAATTTGCCACCAGGTCTCTCACGTGAAATGTGTGTGTATATTTATGGGTTGTTAATATTACAGGCAATCATGTCAAATCTGGTATCAAAAATCAAAGTGAGTTAGTATGGTCTTACCCCGCTTTAAGAAATATTCCAGCAGTATCACGGCGGGGGACACCAGAAATGGGCTTCAAAAATTGTACCTATATGGGGAATCGAGCCCGGGTCTTCACGCCTAAACTATAAGGTCACCCCACCGCCTCACCAAAAATCAATACTTGCTCAAATGGAGGGGGTATACACTCACAGATAAAGGTATCTACAGTTGTAACATTATATCTTTTCGCAATCCATATGCCATTATACTATGATGCTTGCAAAAGACATTTAATGGCATGAACAGTTGTAACGAGAATGTTTATAAAGAGTTCTGGAATTCAAGTTGAGCTGTATAGAATAAAATATATCCTGATCTATTAATTTCCCTTTCCCAGATATGTATCTTTGGTCTAAAATGGAATACTTAATACGTGGACTGAGGATCATGCACAATAATACAGAGGGATTTATCGTCAGGAAACTACAGCATATGAAATATCTGATACTTTTGTGAATAGTTAAAATAATAAGGGACCAAGCACAGCGCCCTGAGGGACACCAGATGAGGTACGGGTTTTGACTGGATTTATTTATATCCACTGATAACTGTAAATTTCTTTCTGCTCGATATGTTGTTCTGGGGCAAAATGGCTTGAATCTTGCCGTATGATCTATGATTTACTGTTAATTCACCTTAAACTCAACTCCTGGTAGTTTGACGTATTTTTTTCGTCTTTGAAACCGGTGTAATCTTGGAATACTTCCCTCCAGGCAAGATATCCGCCAACATTATGAACGGGCCTTGTATCATCTTGTTTCATGATGTAGCTTTGTATTTCATTTACCCACGGCACCGACCAGTCTTTCTTGTTCCAGATCAGTACTGAAGACAACATGAAAGAATTCAGTTTCGAGGCATGATGCGCAGACAGCCTACGCGTCACCAGATCCTCCTACTGCGATGTGTGAGCGAGTGAGTGAGTTTAGCTTTACGCCGCTTTTAGCAATATTCCAGCAATATCACGGCGAGGGACACCAGAAATGGGCTTCACACATTGTACCCATGTGGGGAATCGAACCCGGGTTTTGGGCGTGACGAGCGAACGCTTAAACCACTGGGCTACCCCACTGCCCCTACTGTCATGTGTACATTA